TAATAAATTGGTTTTTTGTCGGGACAAGGAGTTTGCTTCAGGGCCCCTCCCAGAGGGAATAAAAGAGGAGCGACAGGGGAGTGGAGTTTGCAGGAGACCATTAGTTCGTTTCATTGGTTGGTGACTCTCCGAGACTCCTGGCCAAGTTTTGCAGATCTCAGCCTGGCAGCTCTCCAAGCCAGAGAAGGTCTGTGACCGTAAATCCTCCTTTGAAAGACTTTGCTGGATGTGAAGTAGCAGAATTCACTGTCAATTAATAAAAGGGTTTTTTATCGGGACAACAAGGAGTTTGTTTCATGCTCTTGGGAAGCCTCGGTCAGAACAGATACAGCCTTGAGAAAGGTATGTGTGGAATATGCTTCTGGTTGTAACTACTGTACTGCTCCATCAGTCCCCGTCCCCCCCCCGGTGCCTATGACAACTTGAGAGCAAGCCAGGGACTCTTGGAGAGTTGACACTGTGGTCGTAAGTTGAGGACTACCAGTATTACAGTTTCAGAAAAAGCCAGAATTAACATAGCAGGTTTCTGCCTGCAAATTATGCTGGAATGTAGGTAGGAATGTAAGCTGCCCACGCCATCTCCACCATCTCTACAATAAGTTGTTAGCTATAATCCACTTAGAAATGGATCCTAAAGGAACACCAAATAATACTTCCCTCCCTCCCTCCCTCCAACAAGAGGCAGAAACTCACTGTGATAAATCTCCTGCAAGGATCCTCCTCCACAGTATTCCATACAAATCCACAGCCGATCATTCCTAAACTCCGGAAATAACAGGAAATGTGTAACAGAGAAGTGGGTATATATATATATACATACATACATAATTATTTGGGGAAGCAAAAGCTTTGCTGGCTGGGTGAGATGCAATCCCCAAATCAATCTTTCTAAATCTTGGCGGCTTGAAGATGTGTGGACTTCAACTCCCAGAATTCCCATGCTGACAGAGGAATTCTGGGAGTTGAAGTCCAGCCATCTTAAAGGACGCTGGCTGGGGAATTCAGGGAGTCAAAATCCAGCCATCTTTTTTTTTAATTAATTTCATATATACATTCACAATTATATGATCTCATAACTGTTATTAATAATATGTATTTATAACAATTTTTCCTACTGTTGACAATATACTNAGCTGTTCTTGTCTTCTGGCTGCTCTGCGCATGCGCACACTGGGAACAGGCTCCAGCTGTTCCTCTGCCTCACTGCCGTCTAACTCCCTCTCTGCCTCCGACGCAGACCCTCGTCTGAGCTTTCCCCAGCCCCCAGGACTGGCCCATGTTCCTCCCCAACCTCCTCACTGTCTGACTCTGCTGCCAGCTCCACTGGCCATTGGCAGGCCACAACAGATCTGAATGCTCCAACACTGGAAGTTTTTAAGAAGAGATTGGACAACCATTTGTCTGAAGTGGTGTAGGGTTTCCTGCCTGAGCAAGGGGTTGGACTAGAAGACCTCCAAGGTCCCTTCCAACTCTGGTTATTCTATAAGGAGTGATTCTATAAGCAGTGGGATGATCCAACAGTCATATACGTACAAACTGGACCGGTCACTTTTCCCAGTGCTGTCGTAACTTCAATCCCTAAATAAATGGACGTAAGGTGAGGACTACCTATATATCAGTCCCGGAACTCAATATCGTATACTTTTCCCGGGCAGCAAAAGTGACCCCACCTACAGACTCACCTGGAGGGTTTCTCTGCAGACATAGGCAATCTGTTTTTCGGATAGAGGCCCTGTACCTGAAAAAAAAAAGAGAGAAAAAACAGAATTATCGTAGAACATAGAGCTTAGAATAACAGAGTTTGAAGGGAACTTGGAGGTCTTTTAGTCCAACCCCCTGCTCGAGCAGGAGAGCCTCTACCATTTCAGACAAATGGTTCCCCAGTCTCTTTTTGAAAGCCTCCAGTGACGGAGATCCCACAACTTCTAGTGGGAAGCAGTTCCACCGGTTAATCATTCTAACTGCCAGGACGTTTCTCCTTAATTCCAGATTGCTTCTCTCCTTGGTTAGTTTCCATCTGTTGTTTCTTTATCCTGCCTTTTGGTGCTTTGGAAAATAAATAACCCCCTTATCTTTATAGGAGCCGCTCAAGTATTGGAAGACTGCTGTTATGTCCGCACTAGTCCTTCTGTTCATTAAATGAGACATACCCAGTTCCTGCAACTGTTCTTTGTATGTTGTATCTCCCCGTACACTAATCCTCTTTGTTGCTCTTCTCTGCACTTTTTCCAGAGTCTCAACACCTTTTTTACATCGTGGCGACCAAAACTGGATGCCGCATTCCAAGTGTGGCAATAGCAATAGCAGTTAGACTTATATACCGCTTCATAGGGCTTTCAGCCCTCTCTAAGTGGTTTACAGAGTCAGCATATCGCCCCCCACAGTC